CACATTATTGCTTGTACAAGCTAATTATTTAAAATAATTCTTGAGTTATTTGTATTTTGTTTTGAATTGTTTTATGTTGTATTATTCACGTCCTCATAATAATGGCAATAGTTTGTGATTATCACTGTCATTTTGTGCAGTTTGTTAAATTTCTATGCTTATTTATTGTTTTATTGATTATTATGATGTGGATTTTTTGGCTTGGATTTTTTTTAAAGCTTGTTATTCTGGCTTGGGTTGCATTTTATAGTTCTTATATATCATAAAATTTATTATTATTATTAAAACCAATTGACCAAACTTAATTGATCTGAACAGTATGAATTGTGCATTTCTGAATGCTGCCGATTTTACAGTGTAAGATAAAAATTTATATAAAAAAAGTCATGACTACTAATGTTTTATGTCACTTGAACTTATTTTAATAAGCTGACCAGGTTTCAACCACATTTTTTAAGTTATGCAAAGTTTATCTTAATATTTGTAGTCATCAGTTTGGTTGATATTTGTTGGGAGGACTAGAAAAGTTCATTTGGTTCAACTAAAAATATTAAGGCAGCAAGATTTTATTTTGCAGACTTCACATTACATCTAAATATCAGGGCTGTCTGCTGATTTTAAGAGCTGCTTTTATTCTCAATTGTTGCTTACTTTGATTAAAACTCTCTAAATAAATAATTCTAAATATTAAAAATCATATTATTAAGCAGGAGAATTCAGATTATTATATAGCATTATTACACAGCAAGAGAATTCACAGGGTGTAAAATATTAACAAGCACCTCTGAGTTTGTGATGCACAGTATTTAATGCGTTTTTTAATATTTTGTTCATAATATATGACTTATCCTGATGCAAAACAACCTTTTACACTCCATTAACTAGTTTAAATAATATTTGATGCACCTGATTCAAGCTATTTAGTGTGTTTAAGCACAAATAACATATAATTATGAGTGTTTCACCCTTTCAAAATGTTATGCATTACATACAATATGGTATTATCTATTATGTTTAAATGTTAATGTATCACACAGTCTAAACATGCTCAGATTTGATTTGAGCAAATATTAAAGGTGCATGAACGTAATATAAAATCTGTTTGTTGGGAGCTGAAATTCTCAAATTTGTATTGAATTGGTTAAAGGTGTCAAAACTGACCTCATGCTGTGTTTTTGTGTAGTGATATGATGATTCACTGCTCATTATCATTTAACTGCAGAACGAGGCTGAGGATTGGACATTAGCTGTCACATGATTTAATGATGTCATTGCATAACCAGAACATGCAAGAATGTTATAAACATGTTCAGCATTTAAAACTAGGCATTTTATTGATGCAAAAAAAACCAAAACATTTCTTTAAAATCAAAATGATTTCTTTTCCAGATAAAAACCTAAATTGATAACAACTTTTTTCTAATTAAGAGATATTTTTTCATCACAACTTTAGTATAAATATAAATGTACATGATCATCATCAACACCAGACTCCTTCAATAAATACATACAAACTCAGAAACTCAAAGTCCATCGTTTATATGGTTAAAGAAAATTACAGCACACATGCAGAAAACATTTTTATATTAATCACTATTACTGTAAATGTTTGCTTGTAGTTTATAATATTAATATTAATTAATTAATTTTTGTAATATTAAAAGCAAGTTGTTATATTTACCTTAAAGATTTTTTTTTTTGTTAAAGCCAAATGTTTGTTGAATGTTTTTGGCTTAATTACATTTGCAATATTGTAATGCATTGTATGTAATTCTTTTTTATGCAAATAGTAAGTTGATGAAAATAAAAATAATAAAAAAAATAAATAAATAAAATGATATTAATCACTATTACTGCAAGCTTTTGTTTGTAGTGTTTGTTATTATTGTTATTGTTATTATTATCATTATTATTGTTATTATTATTATTATTATTATTATTATTATTATTATTATTATTATTATTATTATTGTTGTTGTTATTGTTGTATTAAA